AAGACAAGAAGATTGCTCAAGCTCAATCACCTCCGTACGTTAGCACACTTGACGCTATCACGGCGTTGTTCACCGTTCTCATCTCTCAAGCTCGTGGCCATGGAAGATCTGTACGCGTGTCAACAGCAGTGCACGGACGGAACCGACTGCAACCGCTTGTGGTCGACGCTGTCCGTGGCGTCCGAGATATGACACGTGAACATCTCAAAATCGCTACTGCACTAAATGTAGCCATCTTCGTGGTAGTAACCAAGACGGATCTCGTGACGGACGAGCGGATACAGCAGTGTCTCGTTGAGGTCGCAGACCTCCTGAAGGCGTTTTGTCCTTGTCAACGACTTCTTTCGGCGCCAACAAACATGGATACATTACAGGACGACCCCGTGAAACTTAGTACAGTACCGGTTTTCCAGATCTCGAACGTAGACGGCATTGGTCTGGACGTGTTGCAAGCGTATCTGGCCATGCTGGAGCCGAAGCGCTTGTGGGCTAACAAAGCCAAGACGCCAGCGGAGTTCCAGGTTACTCAAGCGTACGATATCGAAGATGCAGGCACCATTGTGACTGGACTTGTCCATGCTGGCACGCTGTGCGTAGGGGAGCAGATGCTGCTCGGACCTGATGCTGATGGTCAGTTTTGCGAGGTAGCAGTCGAGAGCATTGAAGTGCAACACAAGGCAGCACAAAATCTAAGCGCTGGTGAGACTGGAGCTGTGCTGATTCGCTTTCTGGCCACCGCTCCGCCTCTCCATCGTCTCAGAAAAGGCACCATGCTCGTACATCCGAGTGTTCGACCGATGGCTACACGTCAATTTGACGCCGAGTTGCACTTTTTACCGGATGCACGCGCGTTTCGCGAGAACTTCGAGGCCGTAATTCATACAGGTCAAGTACGACAAATGGCCAAGATCGTGCGACTGACTAGCTCCAGTCCCAACCCAAACTGCAGCCTGCTACTACAATGTGCCGCTTCGAGTTCATGTACTGGCCGGAATATATCCGTCCAGACTTGCCACTAGTACTACGTGAAGGGAAAACGCAAGCTGTGGGTCGGGTAGTGCGCGCTGTGCCTATTTTCCACAAGGAACAGCAAGTAACTCGAGTGCCATCCTGCTAAAACGTCACTATTAATACTTCGCAGCACTTTGTATGCTAGGCATGTATGCAAGCAAGAGAGAGTAGTATGCAAGCAAGAGAGAGTAAAAAGAAATGCAATTTTTTTCACCTACTTAAATGCATGTGTAGCCATTTACAGATGTTGCTGCAGCCATTTTCGTTGCCTATAAAAAGCTATTCAGTTGAAGGAGGTTATTTAAGCCATCAACTTCTTGCCAGAAGACGATTACAACGTGAGTATTACGATGGCATCCGTGGAGGTGCGCTCTAAAGCCAACCACGACACTACAAACACGAGCAAGATGCACTTAGATCTTGAAGAAAGTACCACTGGAGACCGCAAACAGGACGATAAAGAGCCCAAGAAGACGAAGGTCCGAAAGCGACGTGGACCGGGAGCTCAGGCAATTGAAGAAGTGTTTGCAACGCTGAGCAATGCTCGGTCGTCGGGGCTCAATCCTCCTCCAGAGCGTATCATACTGACACCTCGATCAGCAGAAGCTTGTTTACGCTGTGGAGTGAATCCGGAAACCCTCAAAATCCGCGACTTGGATTCCTTTTAGATCCAGACGTCACGACTGCCGTACAGCGTATGCGCCACGGAGCGTATTCACTACGCAGACACGAGGAGATGCAGACTCTACGAGCTGAAAAGTGGAAGCTGCTCGAGGCGGAGGATTGAGGCGGCGTCATCCCGTCGCGTCTTGTAGCCATTTCAGGCCCCAAACGAGGTTCTCATAGTGCCAACGGGCTAACGTCAAGCTCCTCGAGCTCGTCGGCCACGAAGAATTCCTCGTCCCTGCTGAATATCGAGCGACAACGACTCGAAAAAGTCCGACAACGACAAGAACGCGAGCTGGAACAAATGCTCGAGTTCGAGATGAAGATGAACCGACTGCAACAAATATCAGTACATACAACATTCTTACGGGTTGTGTTGGTTGTGTGGATGGGTGGTTGTGCACTATAAAAGCTCCAAGTGCAAATGAAGTCCCCGACGTATCAGCTTTCTTTTCGGGTCACTACTTGTGCTACGGTATAAATGTGCAGGCCATGTGTGACGCAGCGTGCAGATTTACCGGTTATTGTTTTAACTCACCAGGAAAGGTTTCGGATAGTGTTGCTTTTAAAAAGTGGCCATTGCACACTGCTATCTCCAATTTACCCTTTGGGTATTATGTCATCGGTGACAACGCGTACCCATTGTCATCATCCGTGCTGGTGCCCTTTACGAAACCGGAGATCAAAACCAGAGATTATTCCGACTACAATTTTTATGTATCCCAACTACGCATTCGAATTGAAATGTCCTTCGGTCTCCTGGTTAATAAGTGGCAAATATTTAAGAGGCCACTGGCAGTGGACTATGTACATGCAGGGCTCGTTATCAAAACTTGTATGAGATTACATAATTACTGCATTAACGAGCGCATTTCTCAACCGGAAAGTGGAGGACCAAGCAATGCCGCGTCAAGAGAATTTAACGCAATGGAAAACTGCAGCTATTTGCCCACAGGTGTGTTGGCACTGCTCAGCGCATTAATCTAGCGCCACAGGCAGCAGGTTTATTATACGCACGATGTGGACGAGGAGATCGGTAGAGAACAAGAGCAAATGTCTTGATTTCGCTCTATCAACGTTAAACAGCTGCAAGCGTTTGCAGTTTTCCGCCTTTGTCTGTGTCACAGTGAAATACTAGTGCAAATAGTCGTCAGTCTTAAAGCCTACTGCTTTTCTAGAACCTGATCGAAAAAGTTATTTGGCTCCGCTCGGTTCACGGATAAGGTGGCAAGAAACGTACTTAAGTGGGAAAAGATCATA